CAGGGTCTATAACAACCAAAGGCTTGACAGACTGGAAGTCAGTCCTGCAGCCAGTGCTGGTTGCCATGGCAACCCAGCACTGACACCACTGCTGTTGCTGCAGGTGGGGTGACCCAGAATTGACTGCTCAGGGGGTTGTGGACCAGCCCTGGAGAGAAAAGCAGGGTCTGATCCGTAGCCTCTGTGGCAGCAGTTGATCAGCCCTTGCCTTTCTCTTTCTCTCCAGGCAGCCATGCCTCTCTTTCTCTCCAGGCCTCTGTGGGAGGCTGCTGATCAGCCCCACCTTTCTGATTAGGCCTGGAGATAGGCCCAGAGAAACGGACTGGCATAGGAACTGACCAATCAGAACCAAATCTGGGTGAACTGTGAGGAGCCAATGGCTGCCTAGGAGGTGGAGTTCTGATGCTGACTGGCATAGAAACTGACCAATCAGAACCAAATTTGGGTGAACTGCAAAAGCAGAACCTAAAGTGGAGACTGAGGAGGGGTTTTAAGGGCAACAGCTATTTGGTGTAAGGTGTAAAAAAGCTGTACAATTTTTTAATGACTAGTTTGGCAGTACAGTGCATATGGCTGGCTATCAGACCAAATATAGGGATTATGTATTTTTGTTTGCCAAGAGCATCTCCTCTTGGCAGACAAAAAGGCTTTATCCCCACCTCCCCATTTAAGCAATCCTATCCTATAATAATCTATCTATACTAATAAAAGGGTAATATGCTAATTAGACTGGGTCTACTGGCCATCTTCTGGACTCTGATTTCCTTCCGGACAAAGCCATGATGGTGGGAGCCTAGGCAGTGAGGGCAGTTAGGGGCAAGATCAGTCTGGCAGAGGAGAGCCATTGGGGGTGAGATCAGGTCAGCAGGGGAAGGCAGTTAGGGGCAATCAGGCAGTCAGAGGCAGTTAGGGGCAATTAGGTTGGCAAGGAAGAGCAGTTAGGGGTGAGATCAGGCCAGCAGGAGAGAGCAGTTGGGGGCGAGATCAGGCTGGCAGAGGAGGGCTGTTGGGGGCAAGATCAGGCTGGCAGGGGAGGGCAGTGGGGGCAATCAGGCAGGCAGGCAGGTGAGTGGTTAGGAGTCAGTGGTCCCAGATTGTGAGAGGGATGTCTGACTGCTGATCCCAAAGGGCCCCCATTTGGAGAGGGTGCAGGATGGGCTGAGGGAACTCCCCCTCTCCAGGCACAAATTTCATGCACCAGGCCACTAATTCAACCATAGAGAAGAAGGGTATTTTGTCACCTGTCACTACATGGATGGACCTTGAAGGTATCATGCTAAGTGAAATAAGTCAAATGGAGGAAACAAATACTGTATGATTTCACTCATATGTGGAATCTAAAAAAACAACAAAATAAGTGAGCAAACAAACAATACAAAAATAATGTTGTATACCTATGGAATGCTATATTCCAATTTTACCTAAATTTAAGAAAAGACTTGTCTCATAATTTAAACTATAGTAAGTAGAGTAAGATTTTATTTATGCAAAAATATATTCCTGTGCCCCCCCAAATATTGGATCTGAATACATTAAGCTATTATTAACAGTGGTTATATCTCGAAGCATTTTGGGCCAACCTTGATTTTCTGTATTTATTCATTTTTCTGGCTTTTTTTTTTCCCTACTGGCATTTATAGTTTTCATAATTAAGAAAAAAGATTCATTTCTTATTAAAATATATTAGGACACCTTCAGAATAATCAAGTGACTGCCTTTATTTATCCAAATGTGCTTAAACATTCCCTAGGATGAGTTATCCTAAAATGAAAACTTTTCAATCTAAACTATGTTGCTCATTAACTATGATGAGTAAAGATGATATGTGTCGTTTTGAAGTCACATTAACATTTCTTATGATATTATCAGAGAAATTACTTGATGATGATCTGGATTATAGATTCTTTTCTAAAAGCGATAGTCTAGTACAATCCTCTAGTAATGCTTATAATTGGTGCTGTGCCTTTCCATGTCCATTGGTGCTGTTGGCTTCAGGTTTCTCTGAAGGTACAGATTTCCCTTGAGGACTTCTTTCTTTGTAGGAATCAGGAAAACCCAAGGGGGCAATGGATGACTTTTGGGGACTTGGAAGCCAGGCTGGAGTGGGCTGGGCTATTCCTTGTAGTGTCCAGAAGCAGATTTAACCTAAGTCATTTCAAGTTGGTGTCAGAGAGAGAGTTTCACAAGGCCATCTCTAGGTCCGGGCTGTAGGAAATGAGGCCAAAAATCAGAGTTCTAAAAAACCTCTGTGGTTTCCCATGCCCTGAGAATAAAATCAACACTCCTCACTTGAGAAGCCCTTTCTGCCCTACCAAGCATCTCATCATTTGAGCCAGTTTGGCCTTTCAGACTCTCTGGAGGCTAAGCGTTTTCCCCACTTCAGAGCCTCATTCTCTTTCTTCCACCTGAATGGCATCGCCTGGCTTTTCTGTGGGTGGCTTCTCTTGACCCTTTCAGGTCACAGTGTCACCTCTTCAGTGAGGCCTTTCCTAATCAATGAATCTTAGTAAGCATCCCCACTCTCGATTTGGGCCTCCTGATGGCTTCTTCTTAGCATTTTGTATGCATTCAGGTGCCTTCACGTTCTCTCTCTCTTGTCTTTAGGTTGCCAATGCTAAGTGAATATGGATTTTCTTATGGGAACTGTCCGGCAACACCCCTGTCCCCGTCCTTTCCGTCTGCATGCCTTGCAGGCTTAGAGCTTCCCACATTTACCTTTCTTAGCCTGAAGACTTTGTCTTTTGGAGGCTAACACTGCCTACATGTGCTTCAGCCTCAAATGCTAGGAAAAAAAAAAAAAAGTAGCCCTCAAAAAATTAATGACTGTAGTTAGCATGTAAATGCCCAGGCTCCCTCATGCATTCTGTCCTAGTCAGCTAAAAGATTGATAGCTCAATAATACATCTTTAAAAAAAAAAATAAATATATATATATATATATATATATATATATATATATATATATTATTGATTTTGTACAGAGAGGAGGAGAGAGGAGAGAGGGATAGAGAGCTAGAAATGTCGATGAGAGAGAAACATCGACCAGCTGCCTCTTACACACCCCTTACTGGGGATGTGCCCGCAACCCATGTACATGCCCTTAACCAGAATTGAACCTGGGACCTTTCAGTCTGCAGACTGACGCTCTACCACTGAGCCAAACCAGTTTCGGCTCAATAATACATCTTTTATTGTTGGCTAATTTTACTTCCCAGTCTGATTTCATCACTTCCAAATAAATGGCTTACATTCAAATCCTTGGGTGGAGAGAGGGTTGTGCTGCTTCTGTCTTGTGTAGTTGAAAATTTGTGAGTTCATGGATAGATGGGTGGGTGAATGGGTGGATGGAATAATAAGTGAAGAATAGATTACAAAATGGAGCTCAAGGCTGTGTAAGTTTTGGAACTATTGACTGAAAAAGCAAAGGTGCTGTAAACTCATTCTAACTGGAGCTAGTTGGCTCACAAAAAAGCATGTAAGCCCACTAAAGGTATAGGTATAGGCAGATAATCTAATATAGAATTTTTAATAGCTAATATTTTCTTTAGTTCCAATTCCTGAAGATTTTATAGATGCATGACTGATGTGCAGTTTTTACATTTATTATTTTACTAGAGGCCTAGTGCATGAAATTCATGGACTAGGGGGTGGGGTGGAGTGGGGAGAGAGGGTCCCTCAGCCTGGCCTGCACCCTCTCACAGTCCAGAAGCCCTTAGAGAATGTCTGACTGACAGCTAAGCTCCCGCCACCACCACTGCTGCACTCAACAGCTATGAACACAGCTTTGCTAAGTGGTGCTCCCGTTGTGGGAGCACTGACCAGAAGGGGGAAGGTCATGTGTTGAGCATCTGCCCCCTGGTGGTCAGTGCATGTTATAGTGATCAGTTGTTCTGCAGTTTGGTTGATTTGCATATTAGCCTTTTATTATATAGAATTAGAGTATTTACTTAAATAAAATGCACTGTGCAAACTCTTAAAGTTCAACATGCATTCTTTTTTTTCCCTCATTTAGGTGACATTAACAGTCACCTTTTATATATATGAAAGTGAGAATTGGGCTAAATAAAATCAGCTAGTGAGATTTAGTCAGAGCCACAGAAAGAAGTGATCACAAAAAGTTGATCTAAGATCTAGGTGACATAGAATAACTGATTTCAGGGTGGAGATTGCTATTAAAAGTTTCATCATTATGATTATTCTGTTATTGGATAAGTTCACAGAGTTATTTGGGAACCAACTTGAACTCTTTAATAAGCATTTCTACTTTCAGCAGATCATGAGTATGGAGACTGAGCTAAGTGTGTTTCTTGATAGCAAGATAAACCATCGAAGTCTGGCTCCAGTGAGGTCAGTGCCTGGCATACAGGTAGCTATGAATCATGAAGCATATAAGTGGCCAGGCCACCTTGCTTTTATAACACTTCAGGTGATCAGCATATCTAGCCCTATACATTTAAAAGTTAAAGATCATGTGTCTAAGCCTGTAAATTTGCATACACTGCCTGTAAGGAAATACAAATATAATGGTGCTTTTTGCAGAATATTTGTGTTGAAACAGGCATTGTGTGTGAAGCTGAACTAACTAAATACGGTGGCAATTACTGTTCAGAAGGAAAAATTTAAGCTCTCTTTATGAATTGGCCTGTCTTTTTTTCATGGACATTGTAGATGCAATCATGGGTAACGTGTAATTCTGGTTGTTTTTTACTTTTGTCTACTGAACAGCTCAGAATTAATTTGCAGCTCAGTTTTTTTTAAGCACATGGAAACTTATGGCTTATATATTTATCTTATGAGTTTCTCTTTATTTTAAAAATCTATTCTGATTTTTCTTTTTCCTCAGCCTGCTTTTTATTTTTATTTTTATATTGCCTGTATTTTTCTCTCTTACTTTATGTACTGATGTAAGTCACCACACACTTTGGAGGAATGAATGATTCATGTATAAAACATTGAGAAACAATCTACTTTTATCTCATTACCACTTTTTTTTTTTCCAAGGCCTAATGTGTGTGAAGAGCAGCAGCTGACCGTGGTGGGACTTCCACGCCCCTGTGTGCGAGCATTCACACACACTGTCAAGCTCTGGAAGCAGGGCTGTGCTGGCCCAAGATGGTGTGTGGGTTATGAAAGAAGGTAAGGGTGCTTCCGCTATTCCTTTGGACACTAAAAATCAAAACCAAAAGCCTCAACTGCATCTGAAGATTTCCCCCAATACATTTTAGAAAATTATTATACTATAAACTGAAGTAAGCAAACACAAGATAGGAGCCTGAACTTGCAGAGTTCTACAATATATTTTCCTTCAAAGATAGGATCTATTATTATTCTACTTTTGGCCTCATTTACGTAGGAGGTCCTTTGGATTCAATGCTACGAATTTTACCACATGACGTGACAGACTATTGAAAGCTGAACATCAGAAGACAGACAGAAACAAGGAATATTGTGTGGGTTTGCTACATTTAGCAAGGCTTGGATCTGGGTGCCACAGTTGTGAAAGACTGATCTGCCCTGGGTTCTCTTCTCACACTTTGAAACCTAGAGCTCCTTTGACTTGAGTATGACCTTTGAATTAGGATTAACTAGGCAGGTTGGGAGAGGAGAGAAAAAGCAAATACCTGGTGTTTTCTATGCATCAAGGCTTCCTATAGACTTTTGAAAAAAAAATTTTAAGATAGTTTTACAGCCCTAACTGGTTTGGCTCAGTGGATAGAGCGTCAGCCTGTGGACTGAGGGGTCCTAGGATCGATTCTGGTCAAGGGCATGTACTTGGGTTGCGGGCACATCTCTGGTGGGAGTTGTGCAGGAGGCAGCTGGTCAATGTTTCTCTCTCATCGATGTCTCTAACTCTCTCCCTCTCCCTTCCTCTCTGTAAAATATTAATAAAATATATGTTTAAAAAAAGATAGCTTTACAAAACATCTAGGTACCTCTTAATACAAATAGTTGTTAATGGGGTGTTTTGGGAAATGAAACAACTGAGTCAGAATTCAAGGTTTTAAAAAAGTATGGCTTCAGATTAATAAATTTATTAATATTATTATTACTATGTCAAAGGAAAGTTGAAATTTATACATAACTGGATTTTATGTTGTGTAGAAATATCAGATACTGATAATATAAGACTAAATAAAATATTAAAGGCTAAATATTTTATTATGGATATTTATATATACATTGTATGTACACACTCATGTCTCTGTGTGTGTGTGTTTAACTTTCATATGTGTTGTCTTTTTTAGCTCTATGCTTAGGAACTTTAAATGAAATTTAAATTGGAAAACTTCCCCTGGCTCTTATCAGCTGTATGGCCCTAGGAAAAGTTCCTATATTTCTGTGTGCATCAGTGTGTAAAGTTAGAAAAAAATAATACCAGGCATAGTATGGTATATTTAACACATGTGTCATGATGCTTGATACCTATTTTATACATTTCTCTATTTAGTAAATATTTATGACATTGGCTTTGGAGTTGAGGCAGTGTTCAATAATGTTTTGGTGTCTCTGCCAACTAATTTCTCCCTTTTTTTTGTATACAAGTATGCAAAACTATACTTATATCTCTATTAGAGAGATTCACATACAAAATATTAGGTTATACTTCAAGATGGTGAGTAATTGTCACAAAAAGTAGTTATAGCCAATTAGTCCTATTTTTGAGAGAGCAATATTCACTTAGAAAGGTGGGGAAAGAGAAGTTAAAGGAAGTGTAACTTGAAATTGGCTTTGAATAATGAAGGGGACTCAGGGATCTACACTAATAAAAGAGAAAGATGCAAAGTGACCATACCATTGCAATGCCCACCAGCCAATCGGGAGTGAGTATGCAAATTAACCCAACAAAGATGTCACATTAATTTGCATACACAGCCACAGAGTGGAGGTGGTGCCAGCAGCCAGGGGAAGGAAAGCCTATTCTTGCACCAATCTTAGTGCATCGGGCCTCTAGTAGGTTAATAAAGGGGAGATAATATGTTAATACATTTTGATATAAGGAATAAAAATGATATGGATTTGATAGAAAAGAAATTAGCCAGCTTTGAAGGATTTGGTATTGTAGTGTATTAAGAGGTCAGCAGGTTGTGCTCACCTGTCACCATGTATTAGGACCCCAGATCTTAGAACATGGAAACCCACACCTGAAAACTGTATGTTCATATTGACCAATGTCACCCCAATAAATTTAATAATAAAAAAAGAGGTCAGCATGAATAGTTATAGTTTAGTGTTTTCAACATTTGTACATTATTGTTCCCCTAAGGAGCCTTTGTAATTTAAAAAAAAATTCATAATCATCCCCCTTTCCTGTGAAGTTTTAATGGCACAGGTGTACTTTATCTGTTTGTGTACTATGGTCCTTGGTATAACTTGTGTATTAGCTAAGTTTTTTCCCCCACCCTTCCCACCCAAGAATCAATTGTCTCCTTGCTGATATCACTAGTGTTAAGAATGCATGCTCTAGGGAGACTAGTCTATGAGGGGCTTTCATTGTCAAGTTGAAAAAGTATGTACCTTATTATCCATCACAGTTTCATTATGCATTTCATAATTTTGTGTTTCCTTCTTGATAGCTTGAATGACCCTTAGAAGAGTTTACACCCTGGGGCATTCTCTCGTGCACACACACACACATGCGAAAATAATATACATGTATTTTGTGTGTATAGATGACAGGATTTGGGTTGGAGGGAGAGTTTTTAGTGGGCTTAAGATGACAGCTTTGCTGTAAGAGGACATATAACCTAGATCCCTGTGTTCCATAGGACCCGGTACTACACCGTGTACAGACAGGCATACGGCGTGGAGCAGCAGACCGTCTACAGGTGCTGCCCTGGTTGGCACCGCCAGGACGATGAACCTGGTTGCCTACTCGGTAAGTTATAATTCCTCCTGTCTCACTCTCTTTCACTTGAAGTAATGGTTTCACTCTGCTTGGGGCTTCAATCATATCATGCCTGTCAAGGGTTAGGCATTTTTAGAATCACCACAGATTTGGAGCATCTCTTTGGACTGAAAATGCACACGTGACACACGCAAAAAATGCACAAAAAGCTTTTCTGTTAAGCATTTCTAATGATAGGTCAGAACTCAAATCCCGCAGAACTGCCGCTTTACATTCTGTCTCTTTATTTAAAAGACAGTTTATTTAAAGCCAGCCAGTTACACCTTGACTTCCATCACCCTTTTCCATTTGCCCCTTTCCCATATCATCAAATTTGTAATCCACAGTGGATTCAGAAGTCCGGAGGGAAATCACCGTACTAAATCTAAATGGGATTTCTCAACCTGTACATGTCATGATTAATTGCAGAACTCTGCAGGCAGTTTACTTTTTAAGATGAGCTATGCAGTCCTTGCACGAACGTGTGGGGAAAGTATGCCAGAACCTTCCAGTATGTTTGACAGCATGCAGGCAGCAGAACTAGTGGCATTATGTCTCCCAATCTTGCCAGGAGAAATGGCTCCATTTACCTATCTGTTTACGGTTATTGCAAGTCACTTAAAACGCTTCAGCATGTTGCAATCAATACAGCACCACAGCACAATAATTGATCTCTCCTGCTACCCTGTACCTGAGGGAGGTTGTCAGCATCCTGCTTCCTTCCTCACTGTGCTTTCTGCTCTCAAAATATCTTAGCGAGGGGCCTCAGGCTTCCCATGCTAAGCAGGCTCTGTGTGAGCGGTCCCTGTATTTGCATGCAGTGTTAGGCCACTGCAGCTAGCATCTGCCCACGATGTCACTCCAACTCTTTTATATAAACTCCTGGAAATTAATAACTGTGAGATGAACTTTTTAAACTGTTATATGACACCTATCACAGTCCTTTGCCTCAGGAAGTATTGGTATTCTTTGCTTTATTTTTAGACTGTTTTTTAAAATTTTAATATTAATATTTTTATTTATTTTTTCCATTTTTTTATTGATTATGGTATCACATAATTGTCCTCATCCCGCCAATCCCATCCCAAATCCCTCCCTACATATGCCCTCAAACCCCTCCCCCCTCCTTTGTCCATGGCCACTGGCCAGGCCCATATGCATGCACACAAGTCCTTTGGTTGATCTCTTCCCTTTTATCCCCACCCTCCCCTACTTTCCTTCTGAGGTTTAAAAGTATTTTCGGTGCTTCTCTTTCTCTGAGTCTGTTTTTGTTCAACAGTCCATGTTGTTCATCATTTCCTCTAGATGTGTGAGATCATGTGATCTAAGAAATACCCTTCCTTAGACTGCTTTTTAAATCTTATTCATAGTTTCTTTACGTTAGTAATACTCAAACTTGAATTCACATGACCTTGTATCTTTTTATTTTTATTTATTTAATTTTTTAAAAATTGATTTCAGAGGAAGAGAAAGGGAGAGAGATAGAAACATCAGTGATGAGAGAGAACCATTGATCAGCTACCTCCTGCACGCCCATGATCAGAATCGAACCTGGGACCCCTCAGTTCACAGGCTGATGCTTAGTCCACTGAGCCAAACCAGCTAGGGCAGACATCACCTTATAACTTTTTAAAATTTGTATTCTGGTTCAGTAGGTCTGGGGTGAGGCCTGAGATTCTGCATTTCTATAAGCTTTGAGGTGAGGCCGCATACAGAGTGCTTCAGGCTGTAGGGAGCAGGCCTTAACTTGCAATAAATACTGGTTTACCTTGCTGTGGAGGTGCCCATGGAAATTTTTAAATTATATTTATTTATTTTAAATCTATCTTTATTGTTGAAAGTATTACAGATGTCCTCCTTTTCTTTTCCCCCTTGACTCCCTCTGCCCAGCACCTGCCCCTCCCAGGCCTTTGCCACTCTATTGTTTTTGGCTGAGGACTATGCATATATGCATGTAAGTTCCCAGTTAATCATTCCCACCCACCCTTCACCCCTGCCCTCTATTATATTTATATTTGCAACTTGATGCTTACATTGAGGATTTCCTTTCTTTCTGGAAACCCCATTCTTCATCTGTCCCCATTTACCTTTCTTTTAGCTGTCTCTGCAGTGGCAACATGTTTCCATGGAAGGAGATGCTCAGACAGTGAGGGCCAGCCATGCCAGTGTTCCCAGGGTTTTCAGGGACCCCGTTGCCAATATGGTGAGTCACCAAAAAGACCATTTTACAGATGCTCCTTGGTTTATGATGGAGATATGTCCCAACAAACCCTCCTACTTGGAAAATGCACTCAGGACTACACTGTAAGTATGGGTTATCTACCCTGGTGAGTGCACATGGCTTGCTGCTGCTGCCCAACATTGTGTGAGAGTATTATGCATGCCACATGTCGCCCAAGAAAAGATAAAAATTCAAAATTCTAAGTTCGGTTTCTGCTGAACAGGTATTGCTTTTTGCACCTTTGTGAAGTAGAAACATTTTGCAGTCCAGCCATCTGTAAGTTGAAGACATTCTGTATTATGTTCAGGAAGTTGTCTGCTTTGCTTGCAGGGTCCACCAGCCAATTTTGTCGATTCAGACAAATGGCCGGATTGTCCCTCTGGGCATTGATTGGGGAGCATTTAAAATGAGTCACTAAGCAAAAACCTACAACCTACAGGATATTCAGCATCATAAATTTTGCTTTGCAGTCTAGGTTTAATTATTCACTGTAAGAGTACAAAAGGTTGCAGTAAGTACAAAATAGTCTATTTTATGAAGGAAATGGCAGCTTAGTAAGACAACCTCATTGTAAACTCAGATGTTAAATCTTTAATGGAGCCTTGGTTTGAAAATGCTGGGACAGTACTTTTCTGTAAGATCTCTGTGGTTTGTGAATGAACAGTGTGGGGTTAATGCAAATTCCGTGTGATGTGATATTTACTACTTTTGTTCCCTTTATTTAAAAAAAGAATGGCACTTGCATGACTCTCAAATTTTCAAAACTTGATAACCAAATCTACAAGGTTGGAACTTCGTCAACTGTCAATGTTGGACATGTGCATTTTTCTTGTTCAGGAAGGGTTCGTGATGGTCAATGATTTTATCCTTTCCTGCATCTGCCATGAAAACCAGTGCTTCCAAAAGGATTTGTTTTGCCTTCGTTGTCTCATTCTAGTCTCCAGAGAATCTGAATGTATCTGCATTTATATTTTTAGGGAAGGATAAACAAAACAAAACTGATCATACAGAGAAGTTAAAGAAATAGTGTAAAGTGTAAAGAGCTAATGAAATATTGTATTCATTATTCTTTGTTGAGAGGTTTGCCTTCTCTTATTCATTACATGAGCCTTTGTAAGTGAAATTGAAAGGTTGCTGAAAGCTCATCACTCCTATCCATCTATCTTCTCTTTCTGTATCATTAGGTTAAGGCTCAAAATTTTGATGGGTCATCTCACAGATATTTTTTTTTGTAAATTAATCCTTTGCTTAAAACAACAACAACAAAAAACAATACTCCACACATTTGTGAATTAAGATATAGCTGATTTTTAACCCCAATTTATTCTGTGATTGTGAAAATCCAATCCTGAAACCAAGGTCAGTGGACACATTGAGCTCTAGGGTGTGTCTTCAACTGTTACTATTATTTTTAAGAAGCTGACAGAAATAATACAGTGGTCCAGGACAACAAATGACTGGTATTTGCTTTTAAATAAATTGTGTCAACTACATGTGCAGCACTGGTTTCTTCATCTTGATCAGTAGCTGTGATGAGCAATTACACATGCCATTGATTCCTCCTTTTAGACTTAAAAAAAAATTAATTATTACTTTAGTAATTCATTGGTTTTGGTAGAGCACATCTTTCAAAACATCAAGTTCCCAAGGGGAAAGCTAATTAAAGTAACACATGGTAATGATAATGGCCTAGAAATTATACCTAGACTAATTTATTCTTTATTTTTTTCTATATCAGTATTTGACTATGTTGATTATTCAAATTTCTTCAGAACTTTTATCTATCAGAGTCGTTAAAGTACTTTCTGAAATTGAGGTAGCTAAACTTCATATGCTTCAATTTTGGGTTGGTGAAAATGAGATGGAATTTTTGGACTGGAACCCGGATTCTTGTCTGCCGGAATCCAAGAATGAATCTGCAGACAAGAGTGTTATAGCAAAGGTGGAGATTTATTGAAGAACAAGTACATACTCCCATGTGGGGAGAGGGAAAGAGTCCCACAGAATGGACTCCCAAGTAGGGAGGGGGAAAGGGTCCCACTGAGTTCCTTTTCCCTGTGTCTTATAAAGTCTAAAGAGCCTGGTGCCTTGATATCCCCTCTGATTGGTTACTATATCCCTTAGACTCGTTACTGTAGTAACTCCTGGGCTCAAAGGTTGAACCTCACATGGGACATATTAGGTTCACCCCCCTCCTTCCTTATTGTTTCCTTATTCCCCCTGGGCTTTCTTCTTCTGGATGAAGGGCTTCCTTCTCTTTATTTTGTAAATACAGACCTTTTGCTGTTCTCAGCTCCCTCATTCTATGAAAAAGGACCTGTTGCAGCTTTTCAGCTCCCCTATTCTATAGAAATATACCTTATGCTGCTCTGCAGCCCTGTGCTTCCTCCATGGTCCCCTTAATTTCTAAAATTTCCTAAACTTGTCCTATTTTACTCCTAAAATTCCTGTTTCAAAAATACTGGATTATTTCAAACATAGGCAGAATCAGCATGTCTTTTTCACAAGTTTGTTTGTACTCTCCAAAGTCCTAGGAGTCATGAGAGACCAGCTATACAAAATACCTCTCAGGAGTAGGCAGGGAATTTTTAGTATTGTTGTCCAAGTATGTTTGTCTGTAGACTTTGCTGGTTTTTTATTGTCACGATGGATCTCCTGTTGAATTTAAAAAGAAAAATGGATGAGTCCTACTGGATATACTTCCTGAAGGAGGAATTCAGGCATCTCCTACAAAGTATCACATTTCATCCAGCAAAATGAGATATCACTAAGTCTGTAATGGAGGCATTTTGGAGACTTCCTAGAAAATCAAATATGTGAGGAGGCAATTGGAAAACCCAATTAAGAAGGAATAACATTAGTTGAGTCATGAATGTGCACTAAAAATGGAAATCAGCAGAGGTTGTTTTTAAAAAGAGTATAATTGATAGGACACATACTCTATCAAGCAGGTTGATTGTAGTCTGGAGATGCTACCTATAATGTCTGTTATCCAATGTTGTCTTTTCACATTATATAAATAATTCAAGTAATAGAAAATAATTCAAATAAAAGTTCAAATATAAAAAATTAATAGTAATGAGTATAAGAAATAAAAATGCACAATCTTATTTCTCAGTAACGGTTACTCCCAGACTTCGTGATCCCCAAGGACCACCAGGGAGCCGAGTCCGATGCAATAAACAAAAGAGCCTTTTCCATGCTAGCATGGGCTCCGTCCCACTCACGCCGGCAGCATGGCGGAAGAGAGAGAGAATTTTGCCCAGTCCAGGGGTTTTACTCCGGTCGGTGGTGATGTCACTGCCTTGGCTAACCCTGATTGGTTGGGTGAGGGCTAGGGTTCAATTACAGAATGGAGGATAACTATGCCCTGCCCCACAGTGGAGTCAGGAGCCCATCCTCGCCCCGCCCTGCTCTCTTATAACCATGTGGCTTGCTTTTGTATATGTATATTTATATTCATACACACATATGCAATTTTACATAACCAGGCATCTTCAAAATACGGCCCGCGGGCCACATGCGGCCTGCAGAGGAGTCTGATCCGGCCCGCCAGGTTTTTTGGGCAGTGAGCGCAGCCGAGGTGTTACAGTAGGAATTAGTAGTTCATATAGTCCGGCCCTCCAGCTCTCTGAGGGACCGTGATCTGGCCCCCACTTAGAAGTTTGAGGACCCCTAGACACTGTTTTGTCATGAACACCTCACTTCATTTCTTACCCTTGTTTTTCTTCTGTCCTCTTCCTCTCTTCCCTCCCCTACCTTTTAACAACCTGACAAATACTCTTGCATTTTACAGGGCTCATGGAATCCTACATATAGCTGCATCATATTCCATGGCATTTGATGCACCATACATTTTTAACCACCCATTTATTGGTGGGCATTTTGTTTCCAATTCAATGGTACAACAATCCTGGTACAATAATGTGGTGCTTCTATGTCTGTGATGCAGAGTCCTAGCAGTGAGATTGTTGGGGTTATCAGTGAATATACGTTCAATTTTCATTTAAATTATTTGTAAAATGTTTTGTGGGCCATGGTAATGGCTTTACCAGTTTATTCGGTCGGGTCAGATAAAAATCTGGATGGATGCTAATTCTTATTATTTTTTTTTTGGCATGCTAGCATAATAGGGAATCACTTGCATCTTCATCCAAAACTAGAGATCTGAGAAATTAAAGTGCTGAAGATTAGTATTGTAAATATGGATTGCTCTTAGTATAGGGTAAAGTTGACTTTATTTGAGACATGGGGAAAAAAGAAGTCTGTAAAATGAAACAGATGGCCTTTGAAAAATGAAGAAAAAGAATCTTGTCATAGAAAGAGAAGGGACATGCTAATAACTGAGAGAAAAGCTTGAAGTTAATAATGATTCTAAAATTGCTGATCTACTTAACTCATTTGAAAAATCTCCTTCTAATAAAGAAAAATGAATGAAATGAATTTTGACAATTAGGAAGTAATGAAGAACTTTCCGAAATAGCTATTGATTAAAGGAATCAAAAGGAATACTTTGAAGATGTGAACACATGCAAATCAGGCAAGACAGCTGGTAGTGAAATTTTTTCTCCTTTTTAATTTTATGGATCCAGGCAGAACAACTTGGAGCTATATTAATTGATTAATATCACACACAAATCATACCTTTGTCGTTCATCACTTATTCCATCTTTCCTTTCTCTTTCCAGTTAAATTATAAGTCAAGTTAAATAATGTGCCTAATAATTGGGTGCTAAGACTGAGGTTTTCTTTCTTTATTATTATTATTATTATTATTATTATTATTATTATTACTATTTTAAAAATATATATTTTATTGATTTTTATATTTTTTTAACAGAGAAGGGAGAGGGAGAGAGAGTTAGAAACATTGATGAGAGAGAAACATCAAACAGCTGCCTCCTACTGGGGATGTGCCTGCAATCAAGGTACATGCCCTTGACCAGAATCAAACCCAAGACCCCAGAGTCTGCAGGCTGACT